ACAGCTCCAGCTTCTCCATTCTCTCCACATGATTGAAGTCTTCATATCATTCTAGTAACAAATCTTATGCACCCTTTTATAAGCCTATACCATCCTTCTTAAAGCCTGGTGTCCAGAATTGAACATCATGCTCTAGCTGATTCTTTGTCAATTATGCCTTCATGCAAAAGCTCCATCTTCTGGCACTTAATAAAAACCAAAAGAACTGCGGATGCTGTAAATCAGAAACAAAAACAGATGTTGCTAGAAAAGCTCAGCAGGTCTGGCAGCATCTGTGAAGAAAAAGTCAGAGTTACCCTCAGAACTGATGGTAGCTGGGAAAACATTGGTTTATTTGCAGAAAATAGTGAGGGGAATGGGGTAGGGAGTAAACGATAGGATTGAGCCCAAAGAGAGAGAAGAGCTGTTGGATAGACAAAGGAGTTGATAACAATCTGGCTAGGAGGGTGAACAGTTGTTAATAGTTGTTAGTGACTAACAACAGGGGGTGTGTAATGGCAGGCTATGTAGTAACAAGGCCTGGTGTGTGGGATAGGGGGCTGGGACATGAGAGAGTTTAGGCCCGAAAATTATTGAACTCGATATTGAGTCCGGAGGGCTGCAGGGTCCCCAAGCAGAAAATGAGGTGTTGTTCTTCCAGCCTGCGTTGGGCTTCGCTGGAAAACTGCAACAAGCCATAGACAGAGATGTTGGCCAGGGAACAGGGTGGTGTATTAAAGTGGCAGGCAACTGGTAGTTCAGGGTCTTTTTTGCGGACAGAACACAGATGTTCTGCGAAGCGGTCGCCAAGTCTACACTTCGTTTCCCCAAAGTAGAGGAGACCACATTGTGAGCAGCGAATGCAGTAGACTAGATTCTGGGAAGTGCAGGTGAAGTGTTGCTTCACCTGGAACTTGCTATGGGGACATAGAAAATGTATACATGAAAGTGGGACTAAATACATTTCTCCCAAGTTTCTTTGCCCTGTTGGTAATCGTTTGTGCAACTGGACCATGATTCTGCTGTTGGTTATCCTCTTCTATACTTCCATTCTTTTCCTCAGAACTGGACACAAGAGTTGTCTATTTGGATAATGCTTGACTCAAAAAGTTTCTTTGTAAAAATTCTTCTCAACTCCCCTTAACTCTCACTGTCACCCAGTTTCTCCTTTGTGTCGCTATTCATTATTACCTTTGAGATAACTATATTGAAAATGTACGTTCCACCAGACACAATTCCTCATGTCCCATATTAAAAACCAGCTCCCAGGGTACTGCTTGCACTTCATTTGAACTGAAGCAAGACTTTCTGTTCCTCATTATCAGGGATACCAGTCCCAGACAAATAATAGATCCATTCATTTCTTCTAGAATTCCAAGACATGCCCAAGCCACTTCTGAAGACAATGAATATTAACGATTCAATACTAACAAATAGGTTTATTCATAAATCATCTGCAGGAAAAAACAGCAGCGGTTGAATCCTTAAGATAATTCAAAAAAATCCCTTTGAGCTGGTTCATGAAAGGTTTAAAAAGAGAAACCCAGTCATTGACATGTAGGGAATGAATAAATATAGCAGCAAACATCATCCAGGGAGTAAAGGTATCAAATTGATTTCCTAGGATTTACGCAGGAGCTTTTCCCATGAAGTTGTACCTTGCTGCAATTAATTCAAATAACTGGAATATTCAAAGGGTTGAATTCTTATGTTAATTGTATGCTAATGAATGATTAAGATGAAGGATAAAGGTAAAGGGCACCGATTGATTGAATACCTTTAGCACGTATAAAGAAAGACCGATGCCTGATTCAGTGGTGAAATGTATGTTCTGAGCTTCTAAGCAACGGCAAATAAGACTGTTAAAGGTTGCGTGTTTGTGTATCCTGAGATTTGGACTTTTGGGGTTATTCAACCCGACTGCGTACCTCTCTTCCATGGCCGTGCTCATGTCGAGCAAGCTTTATTGTGTCCACTACTACATATTAGGCCCACTGTGATCACTGTGTGCCGTTGGGGATGGACTGCATTATCAGCTTAACAAGTTTCTTTTAAAGTTTTGATTTTTGTCATATTGCCCCATTAAGCGACTATCGATTAGATTATTTGTTTCATTAGTTATTTTGTTTTCAAAAGAATAGACAGAAAGATATTCTGTTAAAATCTTCCGTCTGTTATAATGAAGTTTAAGGGACTGATCATTAGTGAATTTGTTTAGTAATTTTACTGATATTGTCAAAAAGTTAGCATTTCTCAAACTTTTACGGTTGAAGTAAAACTTTCAAATGGATTAGTAATCACAGATCTCCCTTCTAATTTATGATATTGCATAAAACTCAATGTTGTCCATGGGAAGTGTTTTTAATTTAATTTTACTGATGGGATGTCAATAAAATGGGCATACTTGCTTCTCACTACACAGTCTGTATATCCTTGATATGATATTTGACAATGACACTCATAAATCATTCTATGCAAGAACTAATGTTTCTTCTTTTTAAGAGAGTAGTAGATGGATCCCACAAACATTTGTAATTGCATGTAATTAAAAACAGAATTGGATTTAGTCAGTCTGGTACAGGAGTGTTCCTGCAAGGTTTGCAAGTTTTGTACATCTCCTAAGGTGACAATGTACCAATGCAAGAGGCCACAGACTCCATTCAGAACAAAGCAGCCCGGTTGGCCGGACTACATCAACAAACATTCACCCCCAGTGCTCACCAGCAGCACAGTATGTCATTTACAAGATACACTGCAGAAATTCACCATAGTTCCTTATTCAGCACCTTCCAAACCTACAACCACTTCCATTTAGAAGAACAAAGGGCAGCAAATGCATGAGAACACCACCACCTGCAACTTCCCCTCCAAGTCACTCACCATCCTATTTGGCAATCTTTTGCCAGTTAACAAACTCAGCCAATTTAGTAACAGTGGGAAATCCAGAGTGACTACATACTGGAAAGGTGAGATTGGAGCACTCACCATGGTCCCTAACACAAGGCCAGCTCCAATCAGTGAACATTTTCATAGTTTTCTCCAATCATTCATGGTACATGGGTGTTGCTGGCTGAGTCAGCATTATTGTCCGTCCCTACTACCCTTATGAAGATGGCAGTGAGCTGCTTTCTTGAACCACTGCTGTCCATTTGGTATAGGCAGACATGCAATGCTTTTGGGGAGGTAGTTCCAGGATTTTGATCCAGTGACTCTCCAAGTCAGGATGGTGAGTGGCTCGGAGGGGATCTTGCAGGTGGTGGCATTCCAATGTATCTGCCGCCCTCATTCTTCGAAGTGGAAGGGGTCATGGGTTTAGAAGGTACTGTTTAAGGAACTACGGTGAATTGCAGCAGCGTATCTTGCAAATTGTACACTATCCTGCTACTGAGCACTGGGGGCTGGAGGGAGTGAATGTTTGTGGCTATATTCCAATGAAGTGGGCTGCTTTGACCTGGATGGATCAAGCTTCTTGAATGTTGGAGCTTCACTCATCCAGACAAGTGGGGAGTATTCCATTACACTCCTGACTTGAGCCTTGTAGATGCTGGACAGGTTTTGAGAGTCAGAAGGTGAATTCTTATTTTGCAGATACCACTTTGAGAATAATGGAGACACGCAAAGGCATTTGTGTGGGATCTAACTAGTGCTCTACATATGCCAGGTCCATTCTGAATGGATTACATTTTTGATTAGTAGCCTAAGAGTTTGCCTTTCCAGATATTCATGTCTGCCAATAGTCAAACTGACTTCATGTGAAAAAAAGTAAAAAAAAAGATTTCCCAGTAATTGCCATTCAGAGTGGCACATTCTTTAAAACACTGACCCCTTACCCCCAATTTAAGAAAGATCACACGGAAGAAAGTCATAGGTTACAGGCAAAATTGCCCCTTATTTTGTCTCTGACAGTCTCCTCAACAGTACCGGCACTGGTGAAAACTGTGGTCATTTATGCAAGCAATATGCTATCAATTCCTCCACTTCCAATATACCGTGGGGCACACAAAATGCTGTTTGAGCGCACAAGCATTGAATACATCATGTTATCGTATATGCTTCCTTAACTTTTTGCAGATGTGTTTGAATATTCAACAGTTTATATAAATGTGGTGACTACCTTTATGCACAACCATTCTCGACCTCTAGCTAAGGGAGTAATTATTTTTAAATGGATTTGATTTTGTGTTGAGCCTGACCTCTACAACTGTTCTAAGACAATGCAGTTTTGGAACTGGTTCATTTGAGAATTCACCAAATCTCCACTCCCTGCTGAGGATGTTCCAATGTTTGATTAATCAGATTGTTTAGGAAGAGGTAGTTGCTTACCCTGTTCACTTAGGTCTGTTATCTCACTGCAATATGATCAGCTCATAATTGCAGCAACACGTCACACAAGAAAGTTTAAAAATTAAAAATCGACAAACAAGTCTAACAACCCTGTGAAAGGTGACAACCTGGGTTATTGTAATCCTATCTAGCACCTAGCAAGGCATCACAGAGGATCTCTCTTTCCAAACGAGAAGAGTGCTCAGATAGACTCAAGAGAATCAAACCTCTTCACTTTTTCAGAAGCATTCAAAGGTCATCCACTCTAATTTCAAATTACATCCAGATCCATATTTGAGCATTTGTGAAAATGGAGAAGGAAACATCAAATATGTTAAAAATACAACCCAGTAACATCTGTTATGGCAGAATATTTGAAATCCGTATAAATTGACGATTTACTGGACAAGTTACAGGTGTTTCTCAATTCAGTTAAACTTGCCCAAACCACCACACACAGTGAGGAGACAGCTACCCACTACTGGCTTGAATGAAATCCATTGAAAGTGTGGCAGGTAGTATATTAAATAACTGCAATAAGCAGGTTCCAGTCTGAATTAACTCTGATATGGTAAATGACATCAGAAGGCCATTATTGGCAATTGTCATCATTTTACAAGGTTCACATGGCATTAATGGAATCATCAACACCCTTTATTGAAGAAACCAATTGATACAGCTATAAAGAAGGTTCTCACCTTTAAATCCTTCTTCATCCACAATGATGGTGTAGTCTTCAGGAGTCTCAGTTAGGCTAAAGAACTTGCACCTTGTTTAAAAAGAAATAAAAAGAACACCATTAGTTTGGAATAATTCAACAGGGGCTCTTTACAAGATTGCAAAGTTCTAGATCATAAATCTAAACAAGGCCTGAAGATAAAGTTCAAATTAAAACACATGAATGCTGGAAAGCACTTGGCAATTCAGAGAGTATCTGTGCAGAGAAAAACAGTTCATGTTTCAGGTTGATACTCTTTCACCTAAGTAGCAAATGACTGTCTAAAATCTTGTTTGGAACAACATGCACTTGTTATTGGGAAAAAAACTCCTAAAACTGTACTCCTGTTAAAATTACTGCTGTCTGATGACAGCTTGTATTATGAGGTATTACTTAGATTGAGCAGAACACTGCTCAGAAAAGGCCAATCCACCATTCAGTACACAGTTCTGAGGAATGGTTACCGGACCAGAAACGTTACCTCTGATGTTTATTTTCTTCGCAGATGCTGCCAAACCTGCTGAGCTTTTCCAGCAACTTCTGTTTCTGTTCCTGATTTACAGCACCGCAGTTCTTTTGGTTTTTATTCCGTACACTAGTGTTTGTCAATGAGCTCCCTGGATATTCGTAGCAAATAAAGGAGGCACGTTATGTTAAACAGAAGTTAAAAGGGCCAATTGTAATCCTGTTTTCCCTCACTCAATAAGACCAGGTGGGCAATGGGTTAAAACTGGGTAATGAGGACACTTCCCACTTAAATGGCACTCAAGCCACAAAACATTTTAACAGGCTCTTTTGGCAAACAATAGACATCCTTAAACCTTGGCAGGTGAAGTCCTCATCAATATTCAAAAATCTGAGTCCAATGAGCCCCTGTGACCTTCTGACCTTGGGCCTTGTGAGATGCACACAATGCCAATCCTGTCTAGCAATTCTGTGCAACGTGAGCCCAGAACCTGGCTAGTGAAAATAGGTAACAAAGTGTGCAGCTGGAGGAACATCGCCTGGCCTGCTGTGTTCCTCCAGCTCCAATCTTTATTATCTCTGACTCCAGCATCTGCAGTTCCTGCTGTCTTAGTGAAAATAGGTACTGGTTTGAAAGTTTTCTAGTGGGCCTGAGAAAGTGGGAATGCTCCTCCTGTCTTCACGAGGAATCCCAGGGCCTCACCTGTCCTAGACTTCCCTTCCTTCTCATGTGACCATCATCCCCTCAGACCTCTCCCATCATTCTCCTCAACCTGGGAACTGTTTCTCTGGGTTAGTGATGGCCAACTGCTGCCACATGATCTCCCATTCCCATCCATTGGCTGTTTCTGTAAATAGTATTTCTCACTTTTTCATCATTCACCACGTACTGGTCTTGCTCAAGTGGAAGTCACATACTTGATTTCCCTACCAAATCCACGCGATTAGTACACGACCTTTCATTAAATTCAATTGCAGACATCCTAGAATGGTTCAGTTTAAGCTAGTACAACAAGCCTATAAAGATCCAGGTGTTGAAAACGTGGTTAAGAAAATACCCAAAGAATTCCAGATGCCGAAAATCAAGAAACAAAAGCACGAATTGCTGGAAAAAAAAGTCTCAGCAGCCCTGAAAGCATCGGTGGAGAGAAAGCAGAGTTAATGTTTCGGGTCCAGTGACCCTTCTTCAGAACAGACGACCAAACCTGCTGAGTTTTTCCAGCAGTTTGTTTTTGTTGTTGAAAACGTGGTGGTGTTCTCTGTCACTTAATAAGAACAAAGCCCAGAGCAGAGGTTTACATGTAACGTTCAGTATGTGTAGTACTGCTGCAGGAACCCTATAGAATTAGATGCTCCATCCTGGGGCTATACCCATCAGCACCCATCGCACAGCTGACATTATACATTTAATTTGGAAATGTCTCTGGTACTGACAGTCTGTGTAACGTTTTCAAGGTTCTGAACAGTGCCAATGTAAACAGTCTCATAATGTGTTCAGATTGCCTGAAGATTGCTGAGTGCCCACTATGCATGAGGCAGAGCCACTATATTGGCCCAGAAGCATATTCCAGCTGTCTATACCTAGGTGTGCCTGCATTTGGTGGACTTGTCTAGTAACAAGAATGCGTGACACATTCACTGTAGTTTCTTTTTAAATAGGCAAGCAAGCTGAATTGAAGGGTCTGTTCAGATCCCACCCATTTCTCTGCAGTCAGTCAATAATATGTGTTGTGAAAGACAATTACATTTGCACATGTTAAATGAAAAATCAGTTCAAGTTTAAGTCTAATAAAACATTTAAAAATAGGTCCTTGTGGAAGATGGACAACAAATCCATCAATTAAGCAAAGGAACCAAAGCTGATTAAACTTGACAACAAATTAGTTCTTTGGGTCTTCACATTTAAGTTTTCCATTATGGAGAGCGGCTGTAACAACAAAACATTTCATTAGTCAGTTGATCCTCTCGTGGATACGAAAATGTTGCAGCCATGGAAGTTTCTCCTTTTGACTGAAGGGTTTCTAATTTTTTTTGGGATTACTGACGTGTTAAGTGCAAAGTGCATACATTACTTCAGAACCAGCATCCTTCATTAGCATTTAACTCATTTGTAATGGGCTTCAATGGACAGAAAACATTGAATCCCTTTTCAGGACTACTTTAGGAAACAATACAGAAAAATGGAAAGCAACAAATACAGTGTTGAATTGGGCCACAGAGCATACGCTGATGAAATAGCTGCAGCAGAGTTATGTCAATTTCGCCCCAACCCCCTCCCCCCAGCTAGTGGATGCTTCACAATGAATAGCACTTATGGAATTTGCTGAAGAAACAAAAACATCCGACCCCAGCTACAGGGTTTCTAAATTAAATTGCACATTCTCTAAATATAAAGTCCAACAGCTGAACGAATCAGTGGCTTGGAAGAAAAACCACTGGAAAAGGAAATATATATAAGGCAAATATTTAATGTAACAGACATTTACCGAGGTTAGTTTGACTAAAGTCTGCAAGTGAAATCTGCTGTGTGCATGTTCATTGTAGTCAGAGTATTTTACCAATGGAATGTCTTAACTTTGTTAGCATAGTTGCACTTTCATTGCAATCCATTGTCTACTAATCATTTAACTAGTGGTCCAGTATAATTTTGAGATTGGCAGTTTTAAATATGTAAAATATGCATTTTGGGGCAGGGAAGAAAACAAGTTCTACACCCGAAGGAACATTTTAGTCTTTGCGCTACTTATACCACCATTCCTCATTTTATAGTTTAACCTGCCATTTCCACATTGCAATCCTTCCTATCAGCTGCATGCCACGTCTTGCAGAAAAAAGACTACAAAATTGTTTTATCAAAGCTCCACATGACTAGTGATTTTTAAAGGCCATAAGACCATAAGACATAGGAGCAGAAATTAGGCCATTCAGCCCATCAAGTCTGCTCTGCCATTCAATCATGGCTGATAAGTTTCTCAACCCCATTCTCCCGCTTTCTCCCCGTAACCCTTGATTCCCTTGACAATTATGAACCTTTCTATCTCTGTCTTAAATGTACTCAATGACCTGGCCTCCACAGCCTTCTGTGGCAGTGAATTCCATAGATTCACGACTCTCTGGATGAATAAGTTTTCTCCTTATCTCTGTTCAAAAGGGTCTTCCCTTTACTCCAAGGCTGTGCCCTTGGGTCCAAGTCTCTCCTACCAATGGAAACATCTTCCCAATGTCCATATTGTCCAGGCCTTTCAGTATTCTGTAAGTTTCAATTGGAAACCCCCTCATCCTTCTAAACTCCATCGAGTATAGACGCAGAGTCCTCAAATGTTCTTCATATGTTAAGCTTTTCATTCCTGGGACCATTCTCATGAACCTCCTCTCAACCCGCTCCAGGGCCAGTACATCCTTCCTGAGATATGGGGCCCAAAACTAGGCACAATACTCCAAATGTGGCCTGACCAGAGCGTTATAGAACCTCAGAAGTACATCTCTGATTTTATATTCAAGTCCTCTCAAAATAAATGCCAAAGTTGCATTTGCCTTCCTAACTACTGACTCAACCTGCAAGTTTACCTTGAGAGAATCCTGGACTAGGACTCCCAAGTCTCTTTGCACTTCAGACTTCTGAATTTTCTCCCTATTTAGAAAACAGTCCATACCTTTATTCTTCTTACCAAAGTGCATGATCTCACACTTTCCCACGTTGTACTCCATCTGCCACTTCTATGCCCACTCTCCTAACCTGTCCAAATCCTACTGCAGCCTCCCCGCATCCTCAATACTATCTGTCCCTCTACCTATCAAAGGCATAATCTTTCACAAATCTGCAACTTACATGTAAGTTGTGGGGTATAACAGTACTGGAGATGATGTTAAGGGCCCTTGGAGAGAGGCGTAGATTACATTTATATTACTGATATGTGAACCAGCCAGGTCTGGCAAAAAAACACATTCAATAAAGTGAATTTTACTTTCAATACCATTTTGATCACTTCTTCTAAACCGTACGCACTTTTAAACTGAAAGCACTCCGCCCACCTGGTACGAGTAATCATCATTCTCAAAGAGAGCCTAGAAAAGTTCTAACTTCAGATGTTTGGGATCTCTCTCTTGCCAGAGCAAACATAAGAAACTAAAAATGTTCAGCCTTAAAATGTAAATGTAACATGGGTTTGTCCTGCCTGTGACTTTCTAATGTGCGATGTTTGCTATTGGGTCAGGCCTAGCAACACCTATCCTTGAATGTTGCTTTTTTAAAGCAAAGGTTTCAATGTGGTATGGCATACCTCTACAGCTATCACATGCTGAGGTGAGATTAGAACCTTGACCTTCTGGACAAGAGGTACATTCACAAGACTTTGTTTCCTCAAACATTTCCACTTGCAACGACTGCATGACAACTATTAAAGCAGAAAACCATCATTTTTAAGGCTGGAGACATGTTTTTTAATGAAATTTCAAGTCAATGAATCCTTCTGGATTGATACCAACAATTTACCCTGAAGTAGGTGGCCTCCTGACAGCCTTATCTAGCGACAATAAACAACTGAAAACATTTTGGATACAAATAACAATAATGACGGTAACTATGT